CCCCCCCCCCCCCCAAACCACCCTTTATCTGAAGGTCTGGATCCGCCACTGCAAAGAGACTCACACATTAAAACGCTCGTTATAAGTTGACTCGGCTGGGAGGATGGCCCCTTTTTCTCGGGACAGCTTGATCTCCATATAAACGGGCCTAATTTACTATTAGTCTGTCTCCATAACGAATAACTTTACTTTTCTCCTTCTTCGTCGACGCCGGGCAGCGAAAACGTCGCCTAAAAAGAGAAAATTCGCGTTCGTAGCTTTCAGTGTCACCGCGATTACTCCAACGCATGACTTTGTCAAAATCAGGTGAAATCTCCTGGAGACCCATATCCAACTTTAGAAAGAGAACGAAAACCGCTTCGTCATTCACCATTATTTGCATATCTCTCATTGTACACCTTGTTTTCTCCTGGGTATTACAGTCGTCTTAAGAGGGGGCAAACAAGGTGTCTATTATGGAAAATGCGCAAATGGTGAATATGAGTGGCTGCTTTTTTTTAGGTCCTTCACGATACGTGAAATCATGAAATAAGGCATTTTCACGTCGTAGTCGTGCAGTGACGGCAAATAAATGTACAGCAAACACCTGAAAAAATTGTGTTTTAAGAAACCTATCTTGGAATTCTTTCTACCTTTACTCAAAAAGCACAGTTCTTCAATTCGGAGCTAGGCTGGTCACCCTTTCAGCCGAGCCAACTGTTTGTTTTCTCGTGTAAACGGTTTGCCGCGTTTTGTAAGGAAATGTACGAAACGTTGACTCGCCCAGAGTGGCTCGGGTAGGCGAGTGACCCTGCTTCTCGAGACAATTGTTTTCCATATAGCAGAGCCTCAATGACCTAGCGGCTTATTGCAGTGGTCGGTTCCAGGTTTAATATCGCAAAATTTTTCCATATTTGGTCGACAATAACTGGTTACCGGTATGATGAATTGTGCTTGGGATTTTAGCCAATCAGAAACAGAGAAATATTTTGAATGAATAATAATTTGATATATTGAACTAGGAAAGAAAGTTTTTCCTTTTTATTAGACCAGATTCAATGATCAAACCGGATGTTCGAACACAAGATATGGGCTCGGTTCCTCGAAAGATGATAAAAGTTTAACCTAGGATTAAGCCAAATTTCAAGCACAGTTTTCTCGTCTAAGAACATGCAACTCGAGGTTTAAAAGTACTGTTGAGCCTTTACTACGAGATACAGAAATGATAACACAAAATGCTGCTGACCCTAAGTAATGCATAGAAATGTAAAGTAAAAAAACGAACCAAAATTTTAATCCTGGATTAACGCTAATCTGCATTTCAGGATCCGGGCGCACAAAAAATTCCTTGTTACTAGTGGGTCTTCCGGGTGTGGACTCCCAGGTGAAAGGGGTCGGAATACCCGGCGTCAGAAAACTGAAATTAAACCCCAAGGGTGTGGGCGTGACCCCTAAATGATCCGCCTTTCTAAAAGAGACATCCAAATAAGAGCTGTTTATAGTGGTTTAATTCTTAAAAATTCGTTTGGAAAAAGGCAGCAGTTTTCGCAGATTAAGCACAAGAAATGCAAAGACAAGGATGAACTATATTTTAGCTACAATCATGGACACAAGTCTTGGGACACTTTTGCGTTTCTGGGGCGTTTTCCAATTCAAACTGGTCCAATCCCTCCCTCACCCTACAAACAATGTTGGACGCGTGTATCCAGAATTTTTTTTTAGAGTTTCAACTTTGTATGGGGTGGAGGGAGGGAGAATTGCAAGAAAATTCCGAAAAGATTGCACTGTTTTAAGAGGGAACCGAGAAATGACAGAAAAATATGAATATTGCACTCTTTTCCCAAGAGTTTGTCCAAGATTGTAGATTATAGGATCCTCTAGTACATAGCGCATTTAAAGCAGCATATTCTCTTATGAAAGTTGAACTGCAGTGTAGGATATCAAAATTTTTTTCCCCATTTTCTAATTTCAACAGACTTTTGACAAACTTGTTGAATTAAATGATTCTTAATTGTCGATTTCTTTCCGCGTTCGAAAAAGCAACGGCCGCAAGCCCACCAATGGTCTTTTCTTCTTGATTTACATCTGTTTGCTACGCCGCGAGGAGCGGCAATCATTGATCGCTTACTGAACAACTTCATCAGACCAGGGATCTCATGTTGCTCAACAGCATAGAGGATTCTTCGTTCGCGATTGAAGTGCGTTGTTACCTGAAATACAGATATTGTATCAGTTATCCCCCTCGTTGAATCATTATCATTATAATTATAATTACATGTATCATTGTTATTTACTTATTAGTATTATCATCATCTTCAGTATCAGCACATTATTACCATCATCATCATCATCATCATCATCATCATCATCATCATCATCATCATCAACATCAACGTCTTCATTATAATTATGATGATGATGATGAAGATGATGATGATGATAATGATTATTATTATAATTGTTAGTGCACACGGTTTTCTTGGGGTCAGCACTTATTTCCATCCGCTAAACTGACATTTTCTTCTCAGTGGCTCTCACAAGACGTTTCACTTTTCTTACTTGAAATTTCTCTGTCTCTTGAAATTTCTGTTCATAAAAGTCTAAGTCTCTTCAATTTTTAAGGAAAAAAAATTCAGGATGGCACGAGTAATATTCGATCTCGGATCATCGGCTCTGCAGTGCATCACTTTAACCCCTATAACACCGAGGGTTTGAGGGTTTAATTTGAATATATATAGCAACAACCCTAAACCTAACCCTAACTTAACCCTAACCCTAACCCTAACCCTAACCCTTACTTTGTGTACGAATCATTAATCTGTCAATGTTAGTTTGGCGGATGGAAACAAGTGACGACCTTTTCTTGGTCTTCCAACCGTTTCATTTCCTGGTACCAGGTGACCTCCCGTCACCTTAGGTATCCATCACCTTGCTGTTACCAGCTTTTTGTAATGGCTATGTACTTCCGCCCAGTCCTGCTTTCTCTAGATTCACATGGAATCTTTTGCTGATTGTTCCCAGGGCACTTTTATTATCTGGTGTTCGCACAGGCAGCCCAAACTCTGTGAGAGTTCGTTGGACTTTGAATTTGTAAGAGAATGTATGAAAAATAAACAAAATACGTCTTAAATTCCAATTTTGGACAAAAATAGAAATAAAAATGACTTACCTTGTGTTTGTGTTTTCGGTTATTTACTGTCTCTCTCTATGCCTCTAGACCCATGTGGAGGCCGTTTTATCGCCGTTTAAGATTTTGAGTTTCTTGCTGTTAGTACAACTCAAAATCTCTTAAACGTCGATAACACGGCTTTCAAATGGCTACTGAAGTCTGTTTGCAAGATTTTGTTTGGAAAAGACCACCCCCCCCCCCCCAATAATTTTTTTTTTGGAAAAAACCCCCCCCCCCCCCCCCAATAATTAAAAATGGTACTCCATCTTAGGGGGGACGGGAAACGTAACCTGATCCTTTATTAATTGTCTTCTTGCTGCACAGACGTGGGCCTCCATTTTTCGATTGGGCTTTGCCACAAGGCAGCCCATAACAAGGCATAGAGCAAAAACAGTGTGAAGATATTTTTAAGGTAGACGTATCAGCGTAATAGCGGTAAGTATACTAAATACTCACCATGTTTTTGTCTAAAACAGTGTTCGGTTGAAACACGACTTTTTCCGAGGGGACAACGACCTCAACGTTCACATCATTCAAGAAGACAGAAATGGGTGGAAGGGATTGGGGTCCTAAATGATCCTCTATCTTGAAGCAGAAATCCTCATATGCTTTTCCGAGAAATGAAATTTCCTCTGGGGATAGAAAGAGAATGAGTAAAGACAATTCAGTAAGAAAACGGACAGGCAATATATAGTCCCTGGGGCTATATAGTCCGGTGTGAGGGAGAAGAGGAAGTCCAACAGGAACAGCGAGAGACTAAATAGAACAGAAAAAGAAACGAGGAATATAGTATTTTTTTCCTGTCTCCACTTTATCTCATACTCGGCTCTAGCCTGTTCCAGGCTCCGATATGGTGGTGAAAAGTCGTTCACTAAAAAGAAATTCGAAAAACGCGCGTGGGCTGGGCAGAGACAGGGCGGCTCTCTCCCATTTTTCCCGCCGCCACCGCCCCCTTTCCTAAGTCGCGTGCGTCTTATTTTCGCTTGGCTCGTTTTAATACGTCCCCACCATACTATTCAGTTCGACTCTCTCCTCTATTTTGCGCTTATTACTAAATAACGCCTGTTGACGTTCCAAGCTAGATTCATCTATCTCAAAAACATGGAAAGGCATTTACTAAAAGAAACTTTACCATGAAAAAGCACCTAGCAAGTGAACTATGTGAGGCAAGGGAGTTTCAGCAACGAGACAAATGATATCTATATGATTCCAGATCCGGATGATCTCTCTTTTCTTCTTTTATATTCAGAAAATATCAGTGTAGCCATTCACTTGCATTGCTATCAATTCCCCTAACGCTTAGTTTCCATACAATCGTCCGAATCACTTCCATCGTCTTAACAGAGTCGTATGGAACGATCGAAATGATCAGAACTGTCACTTAAAAAACCAGGCTATATTCCGATCTTAGTTTTATCCGAGCGACTGCGATCTCCTCAATTGTACGTACCGTTCCGTATCGCATAAGAGGTGTTCTTTTTGTTATCGTCTCGATCGAAACGATTCTACTTAATAAATGAACAGCAAGCTTATTCTAAGAACAAAGGGAACTACAGATCACAGAAAACAATGACAATGGAGGTCTAGCAGAGGTGCAGATATCGCTCCTTAGCTTACTACGGCAGTAAACGCTAAAGACTATTAAAAGATAAACGTGTAATTTTCAGCTCGCCTGCCTCCAACCCTCCCCCTCCCCGCGGTCACTTACAAGATGGTAGTCACAGAAAATAGGAATGAAGACCAATCTGGTCGTATAGCCGGCGAAAGCTTTATTTAACCCCCAAAAATTCCATTCTAAAACTGAGACAGCCAAGGTATCGGAATTTTTACTTCTACCTGGCTCATCACGGTCTCACCCTAACCAGGACGAAGAGCTCCCCTCCCTTTATATTGATTCTATCTCCTCCTCGCCCCGCCCCGCCCCGCATGGTCCTTGTGGTGGCGACAGTAAGGGATTTTACGACAGTAAAACACTGATTACCATTTGGGGACACTTAGCACAATCGATCCTCCTATTCACGGTAACAATGCTCAAATCAGTTTTTAGACTTCCCGTTTACAAAAGCTCTATGCTCTTTACCTTCATCATTGATTGTCACAGATGAATTAGACTTTGTTATCTTGCACTGAATTCTTTGCACCTTTGCGGACCTAGCGACTAAAAAAAATATTCAGCGGGTATTTAGGTTCTGATTTCACTATGCTCGAGTAGCAGAAGCTATTTACTTTTAGTAAAATCCAGCTAGTGGTCTATTATCATTAATGGTGCGTTCTGATTGGTTGAGCTACTATTAGGCTATATGTTATAGCCCACTAGTAGCGAAAAGCGCCGGCTTTTTGGCGGCAAAAAAGGATTAAAGTCTAGCTTTAACTAGCCAAAGTTGTTTTGTCTCGATATTTTTGACCAACTAGTTGGATTTTGAAAATGAAGAAACGATCGTCGCAGTGAACGCAATTTATGCAATTGCGTAAAGAAGCCTGAAAAAAATTCAGGACTTCAACGGGGTTTGAACCCGTAACCTCGCAATACCGGTGCGATGCTCTACCAACTGAGCTATGAAGCCACTGACGTTGGGAGTAGGTCAATTGTGGGTTCATATGTTCCCGTGAAAGAAATTAGTGTTAATGATACTAAAATGAGTGTTAATTTTACTAAAACAATTATTCCTCTCGCCCTCATGGCCTCTGAGTCAATAGCCCATTCGGCCTTCGACTATTGTCTCAGAGTCCATTCGGGCTCAAGGAATAATTGTTAATTATGTCAAGATAGGTGCGTCATATTTGAAAGACAGTGCATTTTCATCCAAAGGCTAAGCTAGGTACGTGAAAGGACAGGGGCACCCAACGAGAATATAGTTCAAAAGTACTTAAACATAGCATCGTTAAAAGTATTTTAGTATTTAAACGGTAGATATAGGCATATTTTTATCCCCTAAAAATTTTTCATCTGTTCGGATTTTCTGGCTGAAAGTCTAGTGATCCGAAAATTATGGGGATCAAAACTTACCCTTTCGAAAATTTCAGGCAGAAAAAAGGCTCCCGAAAATTCTAGGTGACCTTTTTAGGGTAAAAATCCGTTAAAAATGGGCAATTGTACCATTTTTCAGATGTTCGAAAATGTTAGGAGAGACAGGCAAGCAAGAACTTTTACAACAAATGTTCCGAAAATACTAGATCTCAAATCGTCTTCCGAACAGATATTTTTCCCACAAATTGACGTTGGGTGCCCCTGAAAGGAGAACCGAGTACGGGCACTATTCTGTGCAACAAATCTCAACCTTTTGAACACCTAAAGCTGCACTATTCAACCGTGTGTCACTAGCTTAAGAGTTGTCAGCTGTAATCTCCGGGGGGTACTCTCTGTGGTGGCTCATATAGGGAGGCTACGCCTGAAAGTGATACTGACCTTTTTCAGGCTTCACGTGTATAAAACAGGGGCAACGACCGTTTTCTAGGAAATAACTGTTCATTCGGAGCTCTCTAGAACGCCTTAAATTTGGTGACTTTTTATCGTCTTCAGAGTTTCGGTATTTGTATGTTTTGTTCACCTAAGAATTTCGTAGCCTTTTTATTTTTTAAATTCAGATTTCGACGCCTAAAAATGTCTGCAACTCACTTGAAAGCTCACTTGAAATAGGAAAACGGAAAACGGCTGATTGACGATTGATACACTGAAGATCGAATGAACCCATAAGAATCCTCACTGATCCTTACAGCTGTCGCTAGGTTCCTAATAATTCCCGGACCAAAAATTAACCCTAAAAAATCCCATGCCGAATTTTCGAGCCTTAGAAAGCGTAGATCAGATGAAAGGGTAATGATTTCGTGAGTTGAAGTATACGAAAGCGTAGGGACGTCATTTAGGTTTTTAAAGGGCCTATAACTGAAGTAACTCGAGCTGACGCATCTTATGGCTATTTCAAGTTAATTTATTAAACGCTACATAAAATAACAAGAAGACTTGTTAGTAGCAACTAAATTATGCACTGAAGCACACGTACCAACTCCGCGGTATGGCCAGCACCTTACGCATGCGCACAACCATATCACCCCGGCAAAGGCAGCCACGAACAGCTGCTTCGCCCTTCGCTTAAAGGAATGCTTTGCACTCTCCTCGGCAGTTAAGAGTCTTTGATACGCGGGCTTTCTCCCCGCTCATTGATCCGACGGTTATGCCACGCTAATGAGCCCCAAAAAGGGCGAAACAGCTGTCCATGGCTGCCACTGCCGGGGTGATATGGTTGTGCGCATGCGTAAGGTACTGGCCATACCGCGGAGTTGGTACGTGTGCTTCAGTGCATAATTTGGTTTGTTGTAGGTATGTGAAAAGCGTACCATTTGTTGATAGAAGGTATACGAAAGGGTTCCCCGGAATTATAGTTTGTCATGAAAATAACACACCTTCATCGTGTCTCTTCTTATGATATTGTGGGGTAGTAACTAAGAATGGCCTTGAATGCACTTGTCCCGTTAGGCCTGAGCTGAGCTCTATTTTGATGACCAGTTCCCATTTATTTCTTTCGAGGATATCTCCTGTTTCTAGCCAGTACACCCGATATCCGTCTTTTGTCGCCGAACTGAGATCAACTATGACCACGCTACGTTCTCTATCATTCCGTAACATGCGAAGTTGCAACTCCACGGCACCTGAAGGAAATTTACAATTCGCTCAAATAAATTATTTGGCTTATGGTAGTTTCTTTATGTAAAGAGTTCTAAGTTAATAGTCAAGGGGTTGGGTATACGAAAGGCCAATCAGAGAATGATGCACCTTCTAAAATTTTGCATTGACCCTTTTCCAGCCAGATGCTTTTGGTGCAGGGCTGTCGTGAATACACAAGTGACCTTACTTGTGACTATATGTTCCCACCTGGGACCTGGAAACGAAACAATCTCTTTTCCAGATTTTGCGTTACCCTTGTCCAGCGGAATGAAATCTGGGAACGAGATTGCAATTATTCTTGCAATATCTACGCGTGCGAGTCACTTCACCTGATTATTTTATTTATTAATTTATTTATAAACTTCGTCAGGAGGCCTGGATCACTCACAGAGCAAGCTCCACTACGAGGTCCAGAAAAGAAAAAAGGAAAAAAAACGAAAATTAGAAATACAAATACTAACAAAAATGACAACACTTTAGAAACGACAAAAAAACAGCAATGAAAACAGAACTGGAGAGGACGTCGATAAAAAATCAACAACTTATACGATCGAGCAAGCTGTTCAGTGGCCGACCAGTGTGGCACCTAATATACACACTAAAGGTCTGGGGGGTGCCGACATCAGAGAGAGCTTGTGTGTTCGCATACGCTGATGTGCCGATTAGTGAAACCGACATAGTCCATATCTCTATATATCACAAAGACCACATGTAAAATTATATACAATGCATTGCTCATTTACGATCTTCTATTTTGGTTCCAAAAAAATAATAAAATAAACAGATAGATAAAATA